GAAATTGGGGACAGTGCTAACCTCGCCACGCAGCTGGCAACAAGCACATCGGTGCCCCGTTCGTTCGAGGTGCCAGCCCAAAGCGGCAGTTTCGTGGGGACCCTAGCACAAGTGAAGGTCGCTCCGACCATGTTAGCCTCGTTTGAGGTGCATGGGCCCGGGGCGGGGGGTCGGTCGCCGGTGAAGGTGAGGCTGAATGGCTAGCCTGTTCACTCAGCCATGATCCAAGAAGAGCTGAGATCTCACGGTTAATCGAAGTTTTGCAGGGCAGAAGGAAAAATCCTCCCAGAGGGGTCCTGCTTGACTGTCCAGGGGACTCCCACCTTCAGTTCCCTGAAGAGCTTATCTCCGAACTGGGGAACTTCATGACAGCACACTACCAGACCACCCATTTGGGAGCGTTCGCAGCAAGGAAACGGGTCGCGTGCTGGTGGGGTGAAGCCAAGCCAGCTGAAGGGGAAGTCGAGGCGATGCGAATCCGGGAGGTCAACGCCTGCTGGTTGCTGCCCTTGAAACCTTTCAACCAAGCCACCAATTTACTCCAACCTCCGGAATTTATCTTCACTCGGGATCCAAACATCGTGACCACCGGGGACCCTTGGCTCCCTAAACCAGTAGGACACCTCCTTGAGAAGTCCACCGGGGAGAGACACCTGGTGCATAGCCACAGAGGACCAGCATGTGGGCCCAGGCTCCGGGGGCACCCCTTAAAGGTTCCAGGAGGAACACTGCTTGAAGATGGATCCGGAAATGTGAGACCACTCCTCCCTGAAGAACTGTGGGAAATGCAAGGTGGGGAAGCTGCTGTGTGGAACGAAACGCCTCCGTCAGGTCGTTCCGACCTTGTGCAAGCCATGGTACGGGAACCTGGTTGGCAAGCAGCTTTCCGCTTGCTCCAAGCGACGCACCGCTGGGAGGGATCACGAGCAGGGGTCTATGACCCTGATGAGATGCAAGCCCATGAGCAGCTTGAAGTGTGGCTGAGAGCTTGGGGTAGAAACCCCAAGAGACCATCGAATGAGTTGGCACTGGTCTCCTGGAAAATCAAAGAACCTATGTGCCCCCCCACTCATGCTGGTTCCTCCTGGAAAGCCGGTGCCCCCAAAAGGGGAAAAGCTAAAAAACCATACCTGACTCCCACTCACGAGCTGGTTGCCCCAGCCAAAAACCGACAAGAAGAAGCGGAGCATCCCCCCAAAGGGAACTGTGGGCCCCCAAGGCTTAAAGGCATCGAGGCCCTGGACCACATTGGCATGGAAGCAGTGCTAGCTAAACTAGCTGACTCCACTAGGAGAGTCTATGCCTCTGGATGGAAGCAATGGGTCCTTTTTAATAGTGGAGCTAAGTCACCGTTGTTCCTCACGGGAGAGGAGCGTTCCGCTCGGTATGAAGATGAACAGAGGCCAATCAGGTTCGTGGTTTTCCTCCACCAAATCATGGGACGCTCCATAGGGGGCATCAGACAAAGGCTGTCCGCTATCCGTTATGCCCACATTACTGCCGGCTACCCTGACCCACTCTCAGGGAAACCGCGGCTGTGGTCCGCCGTAGCGGGACTGCAGAGGTGGGAAGGGGCCCCAGCCAGAAAGCTCCCAGTTACCCCAACCATGCTCAGGTGGCTGAACCATCCAACGAATGGGTCTAACCGTACCGGACCAAGCCATGGTTAAAGGGGCCCTGTTGACTGGGTGGTTCTTCATGCTGAGAGCCAGTGAACTCTTGCCGCATGGCGATGGATCAGACCCGCTAGATCGGGCGATCCGCCCAGCCGATGTTGCCTTCTATAAGGGGGGTCAAGCCTGTTTGGGGACAGTAGCAGATGAAGTGGTGATCCAAGTCAGGTCCTCCAAGACAGACCAGTTCGGTCGTGGGCAAGCTCGTTCACACCACCGATCCGGTGGAGATCTGTGTCCGGTCGAGGCTGCAAGCACTACAACCTCATCGTTGGCTGATCCAGCCGGCCCAGCTGCCACAGGATGGGGACCACAACAGCAAACGGCTAGCTGGTCCAGCCAGTTCAACCGCACAAGGACCAACGCCAAAGCCGACCTCGAGGTTCCCCCCAGCAGAGAACATGCCAAAACCTTCGCCTATGTCGGAGGTCCCACGCCCATCGTCCAACTACCACCAATGGGCGCCGCCAAGACCCCCAGGCTACATGCCACCTCCAAGGGATGAGAGATTGCCCAGGGCGAAGACGCCACCCAAAGCTGGTCTGAGAAAACCACCACCTCCTCCACCCAGCGACTTCCTACCGCCGAAGCAGGAGGGAGGAGGAGCAGCGGGTCTGAGGAAGCCACCACCTCCTCCGCCCAAGGACTTCATCCCACCAAAACAGGAGGAGAGAGGGACCGCAATCGGTCGGAAGGCGCCGCCACCAAGCTTTGTTCCGCCAAAGGCAAAGGGGTCAACACCCTCAGGCGAGCCAAGAACACCGGAGGAAAGTGTAGGAGGAACTCCCAGGCATTTCGAGCGGTCCGCTCAAGCATACCAAACCAAAGGAATGCGAGAGGACCTACGGGCCCCCAATGCCGAGGAAGGAGAAGAGCCCTTCCGACCCTCCGGGCTGTTTGAGAGAAATCCCCAAACTTACCAGGGAGAAGGAACTCAGAACAAGCAAGATATCCGGCCCGAGGCGGCCCCCATGGAGGTGGACCAAGGAGCCCGGAAAGGGGCCAGCCCAGCTGCGCTGTGGTTGGGAACACCAGAGCCCGGTGACCATGCGGACAGGGTGGAAGACCCCTCGCAGGACTATGTGCTGGTCAACGTAGACCCGGACTCCGAAGATGACTGGCATGATGTGGTCGATCCGACCAGTTGTGATTGGCCGGAGGTCAGCCAGAACTGGGATGAGGAGAACACCACGGATGGTCTCCAAGGGGATCGAAAGGAAGCAAATGATGCCTTCAACCAGAAAGCACTGGATGCAGTGAAAAGCTTCCTTTTCCACTACAACAACCAAAAGCTGAGGCAGCAGAGGAAGACCCTAGCACCCATCCCAGAAGTCGAGACTCCGTTGCCGACAGCAGTCAGGGAAGACTGCTTGGGCGGTGGATCCCCAAGGATCAACCTTGCCGAGATGGTCTTCCCGCCCGCCTGGGAAGCTATGACGTCGAGGGGAAAAGATCCGAGGAGCTACGCCAGGCCCAAAAGAGCTGTCAGCAAAGACACTAGGGAGGAAGATGCCCCCATGGCAGAGCCGCCTGCAAGAGACAGCGGGGAAAGCCCCGCCAAGGCGCCAAAGGTCGAGGAGACGAGGGACCAAGCCATGACGGGGGGGACCCCACCACCGGCTGGTCCAGCCAGATCAAGCCCGACCGCTCCGGTCGAGACACCTTTCTTCTCCTCAGAAGAAGTCGACTGGGGAGATCAGGAGGACGATCGAACTCCAGAGGAGTTTCAACAGGACATGGATCTCCTGAAAGAGATTGGTGATCGCATGGAAGCATACCTGAGGGCGCCTGCAGAGGTCAAAGCAAAGATGAGGGTTTCATCCTGGCAACGATGCACCGAGTACCTGAAGTCCCTGCAGCTGCGAACGGACGAGGCTCCTCCACCCACCAAGCCAGGCAAGTTCGCAGCCGACATCCGGATGGGTTTCTCGCCGGAAGAGGCGAGGATCCGACATAAGTCGCGGCAAAGGGCGGCCAGGCATCACCAACAGCTCGCACGAATGGAGGGTTGCACACCAGCTGATATGCCGAGGTCTTGGGATCATCCAAGACCCCCCACTTTGGAACCCGGCTATCTTGCGAGAAAGGAGGCCGAGAGGGCGCAGAGAAGAGCCCAGCGCACCGCTGATTTGAGGACCAACCCCCAAGATAGTGCAGCGGCTGCTCCAGCCGATGATCCAAGCCACCCTCAGAACCAAGATGAATGGCGATGGAATCGGCAGAGCTACGACAGCCACCAGCAATGGCAGGGATCGAGCTGGGCTGAGGAGCAGTGGAGAAACTGGCGATCCGCCGGATACGGCCAAGAGTGGAACCAGCAGTGGCACCAACAGAACTGGCAGCCAGGCTGGAAAACTGGAGGCTGGCAGCAGTGGCAGTAAAGCCCTGAGTGAGCGATTGCCGGAAGCTCCTTCCGGAATTCATTTGAAGTGACCTCAAGACCAGTACAGAGTCCTGGGGTCGCAACACGCAACTCCCAAGGGGGGAATGACGGGCGAAGCCCTGTCAGACCTCTGGGCTGTGGTACT